GTAATGCTGGTAAGTAACTGCAAATTAAAGAAGAAGAAGTTTGTTGATATCATCAGTGTTATTGAAACGTTGTGTAAAATCCTAAATTCCTTAACTCGAAACTTGCCTTTTCGTTTTTTCTCTGTTCATCATTTTTCTTTTCATGTTATGGTTACACATGGTTTGAGCGAATCAGCATGATGGCAATCCTGTTGAACTGTATAACTCTTGGAATGTATCAACCCTGTGTCGATGAAGTTTGCCATCGGTCACAATGTAAAGCTCTTCAAGTTTTCGATGACATGATATTTCTCTTCTTTGCTGCTGAAATGTTCATCAAAATGACTGCCATGGGAATCAGAGGATCAAAAGGAGCTTATCTATCGGAAACTTGGAATAGACTTGATTTTTTTATTGTCATTGCAGGGTAAGAGAACCTTAACCTTTCAACTGAAATCTGATAATTGCAACTCTCTTTTCAAATTATCATCATCATTGGTTTAAAAACTCGCCAAATCTTTGAGTCAATTCTTGGAGGAGAAAATATTTGGCGAAGAAAAAAATTTAAAAACTTTTTTCTCTCCATTGAAAAGCCACAAAAGAGAGACGAAAATTTGAACTAAAAAAAGAAGAAAAATTGCACTTTTTTCTCGCTTCTCTTTCCTTAACATTAATTCAATTCTGAAAACAACATTAATCTCTTTTCTCTCAACAGTTTGCTTTTTTTCATGAGGTTAAAATGAGCTTCTACAGAACTTTTTTTCTCCTTCCTTTTTCTTCCTTTTCATTTTTTACTCGACATTTCAACGCTAAATCTCTATTCTTCATTACATTCTCGACTTGATTTTCACCTTGATTATCGTTTAATCATAACCAAAAGTCAAGACTTTAGAAGGCGAAAAATGTTTATTAAAAAAATCGAGATTACCTTTTTTTTCGTTCTCCTTGTCGTGATAAATATTAAGCTTTTTCTTGCTTGTCGTAAACTCGAGTTTCGAGGTTGTCTTTTGAATTTCAAATCTTGACTTTCAATCAATTTTGCTGGTTGAAAGAAGCAGGTTCATGAAGAGGACAGAAAAGGAAAAATTGGTTCAATGATGAGAAGGTAAAGACGATAAGGTTTGTCAGGGAAGAAAGGAAAATAAGAGAAAAAAAATAATCTTACAATCGATTAAAGATTTTCTTTATTCAACTTTGAACTCTACTGGTTACAATGCACTTGATATGTTATTATTTTCTTGTCTCTACATGAACAAGTCTTAACCCATTTTGAAATTTTTGTCATTCATTGTTGATTCTCAAATAATAATCCATTTCATGTTACGCTTTTTGTTTGCGACAAAAAAGCGTTTCAAGTTGATCATGATAAACTTGACTCGACTCCAACAATAGAGTCAACTGTTGATGCAAAATGTGAACAAATTTCAAGTTGATTCCAAAATCCATCATTCAATCTTCTTTGCCCAACCAATCATTAATTTGGCGCTTGAAAGAGAAAAAAGAAATTTCCTCATTTTCCGATTATTCCGTTTTCATATTTTTTTTGAATAACCTGAAGCACTGAGCAATAACAAATTGACATTATTCTTCATTTCTTGTAAACTCCATTCTCTGCTTTTCTTTTCCATTAAAAGTTGATGTTGAAAAGCGAAAATCCGACTTTTCTTTTTCACTCTTTATTTCCCTCTCCATGGAATTGACCTTTAGGCAAGAATATTATTCATGATGCTTTTCAATGTAATTGATTATCGGTCATCAAGTCCAGCTTGAATGGAAATTTCATCTTTTCTTTTTTTTCGATCAAAAATTTTCTCTTATCAATATTGTTCAATAAAAGCCAATCTATATCATGACAAAAAGATTTTCACCGAAAAAATTGTTGGAATTTTTCAATCTACTTCCGAAACTTGGAGAGAGAGAGAGAGAGCAAAATATGAAAAAACAATTTCCAAGTCAAGGATAACAATGAGAATAAAAATAATCTTTATAATGATAATAACAATCTTGGAATATCATTTTGAGTTGAAAAATATTGATTAAATGAGAGTTTGAAGGAGCAACGAAAAGACTAAAAATGGACGATCAGGTAAATGGTCAAGATAAATTATTGCTACAAAATAATGGTAAAATATATCAAGGAAACTTTTCTTTCAATTTTTCTGTTCCATCAATAATAGATAATGCAAGTTACCTGGGAGTTGATATTATCAATAAGATTCACTCCCAGGTTTCGAAAA